CGAGGCAGAGAGGGCTTCTCGGGCCCGCCGCGCCGCGACCCCCCGCCGCGCCGCGACCCCTACCTGGGGCCCCGGGAGGAGGGCTACTCCCCCCGCGATAGCTACTCGAGCCGCGACTACCCGAGCGCCCGCGAGTTCGCGCCCTCGCCCCGCGACTACGCCTACCGCGACTATGGCCACTCGAGCGGCCGCGATGACTGCCCTTCGAGAAGCTACAGCGACCGAGACGGCTACGGGGGTCGCGAGCGCGACTACGCCGAGCACCCGAGCGGAGGCTCCTACCGAGAGGTCTTCGAGGGCTACGGGGACCCGCGCGGCGCCGGCTCGGTGCGGGGCCCGCCGCCCAACTTCGGCGGGGGCGGCGGCCGCTACGAGGAGTACCGGGGCTGCTCCCCCGACGCCGCCTACGGGCGAGGCCGCGACGCTTACGCCGGCGGTCGCAGCGACCGCTACTCCCGAGGCCGCGAACGCGTGGGCCGGTCGGATCGTGGGCTCCCCTCGTCCGTGGAGAGGGGGTGCCCGCCGCCGCGGGATTCCTACAGCAGGTCGGGCCGCAGAGCGCCCAGGGGCGGAGGCCGCCTTGGAAGCCGCCCAGAGCGAGGAGGAGGCCGGAGCAGATACTAAATCAGAAGCAGCTCACTTGGGACCCAAATCCCCCAAATGCAAAGAAGCGAGTGAAAGGAAGATGGAAAGACGGAAGAGAGACAAAAAAAAAAAAAAGAATTGTTGCTACGTTTTAAGACTTGCCTGTTAAATTCCTCTGTTTTTATGCTTAACAAGAAGAAAAAGTTTAAAACTCGTTTAATTTCGTTTTGGAATTGTTAACGTTCTATTTCAACAAGCTCATGTTAAAAAGTAAGTCCTGCGTGCCTAGTGTTCTATTTCTTCAAGTAGAAAAGTCTCCTAAAGGCTTCTTCCTCTCTCACAATTTTATGATAAATGAGACAAGCGGTTCTAACATCTTTCACAAACATCTACGCACGTAAAATGGAAAAATGGATCAGTCTGCCCATTCAAACCAATTACATTTTTTGGGGGAGGATAGTGGGGGATCAGTGTGTGTCTGAGTTTGAGACTGAATATCAGTGTTACCAATATTAAGAACCAAGCAACCAACCAACAACAGAAACCATTTAAAGATATTAAATACCTGAATGGTCTTTTGTTAAAGAGGAAATAGATGATGATGGCCATATTTTGCCCTTTCTGCCATTTTTTTGGGGAATCTGCAGAATTTCTTGTCCATTCCCCCCAAATAAAGTCATCGATGGAATACCAGCTTAATTTGGCCAACCACAAAACCAGAAAGTAATTAATAACGTTCATTTCCTTTTACCACCAAACTATTACTAAGAAACAATAATGGTGGCTTTTTGGACCATGATAAACTTTGTTAACTCCCAAGTTTTTTGCTCTTGAGCTAAGCACTGAGTTTTATTGAGATAATTGGTTTATTCCTCTAGGGTGGAGGTATCAAATGTGAACAGCACCACAACTCTGGGAGCAAAGGTCAGGAAATCCCTGAAAACGCTTGACAGTTTAATACCTGAAGATCCCCATCTTGTGTGAGGGGGTTTGGTTTTCCTGCCTCAAAAAGGCAAATGAATAGAGGTGGGCGGAAAGACTAGAACAGAGAAACATCAGGGAGACTTCCTCATAGGTGCCCAGGAGGGACATCTGCATACCCAAGCTCAGTCTTAAATGCTTTTTCCATCCAGCATCAATGGAATTCCCCTGTATTCATTAACTGGTTCGCAAACTTAAGTTCTCTGAGAGAGAAAGAACTACAGTTTAAAAGACTTTAGCATCCAAGAGAAAGAAGGATCAGGTTAAAATGTTAGGACTTGTGTTCACAGTAATAAAATTGCTGGAAGAAACAGATGAACACTTTAACAGAACTACCAAATGCAGCACACACACATAGTTCTTTAAAAACGTCAATTTTTTCAACAAAATAAATGTATTCAGAGTGGCCACATTAGTGGATCAGAAGATCAAACGCAAGAAAATAGCTTAAAATTCCAAGAATTAGCAAATATATAAGACATTTATGGAAAATAATTGTCATTACTGAAGGATATAAAGGAAGAAATAAGTGGAGATTCATATATTCATGGTCAGGGAGCTTTTTGTTGAATTTATGTCAACTTCAAATTTTAAGAACAAAAGTTCAAAAGAGGTTACACCTGATTTCCTCACACAAAATTCTCCCCCTCTTGTGCAGTATCATTTAGTTGTGATGATCACTGATGGAATACTAAATGAAAGATTGGGTCATCTAACAAAAAAAAAATAGAATTTATTTCAGCCACAAATCCTAATGGGAGATTTAGCTAATACTAAAATTCACGTAATGGAGTAAAGATCAAGAAGAGTCAAAGCAGTTTTGAAAAATTGAGTAGGAAAGATTCACGATTTCATGAGAATTAGGAGGGAGCTCTGGTGGCATAGTGGTAATGAATGGCACTGCCAGTACAAAAGGAGATAGTTTGAATCCACCAGCTGCTCCTCCTATGCAGTTTACCTCTGAAAACCCTCAGGAGGGTTGACTGTGTTGGTTTGGACTCAGTGAAACATTCTACAAGAATTATATATAAGGTTCTGGTAATTTAATAAACTGACATTCAACAAAAGCAGACCAGTTATACCTGAAAGCATGCTTATTACAAAGGTAGTTTTAAAATTGTTGGTAAAGAATAAACTTTTAGGGAGCTCTGGTGGCCTAGTGGCAAGAAACTGAACTGCAATCCCAGAGGAACACGGTTCGAATCCACCAGACGCTCTGCCGGAGAAGGAGGTGCAATATCCTCCTGTACCAGTCAGATCTGATTTGACGGTACACGTACACAAAATTAAAAAAAAAAAAAAGAATAAACTTTTAAAATGGCTCTTTTAAAAAAATTAATATTCCTACTTCACAGTATGTGTACAAAAATGTGCTAGATGGTTTGAAGACACTTGTGAAGAAGAAAATTTTAAACATTTAGAAGAAAATAAACACACTGGGGTACAGAATTTATTATCGAGGAAAAAAAATTCCCAAAAGGAAACCATTGTTGCAGATTTTAGGTATTAAACATTTTTCATTATACAAGGCATTATATAATTAATAAGCTAAAAAGTCAAATCCTAGATTGGAAGAATGTATACACTGAAATAACATTTAAAGAATGCTTAGAAAAAAAATAATGCTTAGAAATTACGAAAAGAAAAAGGGCCATAAGAACTCTTAACATTATGGTAATGTATAAATTGATAAATCTACTTTGGAACTAATTTTTACATTTCTTAGTAAAATTGAAGAATGCATATGTCTCAAATACTGTTTGAAAGAAAGGACCTAGAGAAACTTGCACATTCAAAATTGATCATTGCAATAGTCTTTAAGAAAAAAACATCCTAGCTGGAGTGGACCAATAATGGAGGTTTAATCACAATGAAGCACTCTTCGCCATCTAAAGTGAATCAGCCAAATCCACATACATCAATATAGGTAACTATAAAAATATTTTAAGAAAAAAAAAAGGTAACAATGGTAAGCATTGCAGTAAGGTAGATTTGTAAAAAAGACATTGGACTATTATACTAGGAATAAGAATAACCTGAGGAAAGGGATGGGGAGAGGAAACATAGAATCTGTAATGTTTAAAAGAGATCTTCACATAGTAGCATCTTCCATTTCTGGGGTGTATACATTAGTTATTATATAAGATAAAAATATTTCACACAAATTTTATTAAATCTAGCAGAGCACCAGTATTACTTTTTAAATGTTAAATATTATTATTCCATATACTGAAACTTTTCAGGTATAACATTTTTTTTCCTTACTAGTCTGTGTAGGGAGTTGTGGTGCTCACCCAAAGGCCACACCGCTCTGGTGGTTTGAATCCACCAGTGGCTCGTAGGGATAAAGAATCTCCCCCACTGTGATACATAACCTTGGAAGCCCACTAAAGGATCAGCTATGAGTTGATCCCTCACTCCATGGTAATTTGTTTTTTTAGTTTTAACATACTGGTTTATCTTGTTAGTGATTCTCCTCCCAGAGTGTATTTTACTAAAAATATAGATGTGTATCTTTCGCGTCAGAGCTGCTTTTCAGAGAAAGTAAATCAGATGAGTACCTTTGAGTCAGAGCTGCTTTTCAGAGGAAGTAAATCACACAGATTACCTTCTCCCATGGAGCAGATGGTGGATTTGAACTACATACCTTTACATTAGGGATAGTGTCATCATTTTTGGCACAGTTGAAGCTAATAGAACATTTATAGTCTGTGCTTACTACATCTAGCTAATTAAATCTCAAGAGTAAGACCTGCATGTAATAGAGGAAGAGGGCATTTTTCTTTTTGACGTTCCTTTTGAAGCATAGTGGTGATGAATTTTTACTAATTATTGGAAAAACCATTTCGGAAAATTAATCTGCTAAATAATAAAACTATTAAAAACTTAAAAAGAAAATTTTGGAAATACCTATTTTGGGAAGTTAAGTGAATTCCAGACATAGATATACAAGACTATGGATTTGCCATTACATGAATTATAGAAATATTAAAAGTAGGTAATGTATGAAAGTTACTTCCAAAGGGAAAGTATTAGTTCCAAGAGATCTAGTTACCGAAGAACTCTTGCTTATAATTTTTTATAATAATGAGAGCATATCACCTGTTTATCAAGGCTACCCACAGCAAGATTTAGAACTTTGCATCACATAAATAAATGGCTCAGTGTAGACCAAATATTCAATGACTATCTAGTCATTACATTTTCTTTTGATGTAGCTTGCTTCATTGAATAATTTGACTAAAGTCCTTCATTATTACAACTAAAGACAACTTATTCCCTTCAGTTCTTTCAGTTAAAAAAAATGCCAAGTATGTCTTCTTTTTTTTTATTTTCTAACTCTAGGTCTTTGCACATTAAAACATTCTCTTTTTAAACTGCCTCTTTATTATTTAATCATATCTTATTTTCATGTAAGCTTCTCTACTCCAGATCAAGTGAATCTGATAATCCAGTTTGTCTTTTATTTCCTGACTTTTTAATGACCTTTTGATTTGTTCATGTATTTCTTTGATGTCATCCTACCACTTGTCTTCAACTTAATGAGAATGTTTAGTGCTCAAGTCTATTTTCAAGATACTTTCTGAATTCAGGTGGCATGTATTCAAGGTTATATTTTGGCCTGTCTTTGGGTTGGCAGCACAGCACCTCACCAGTAAGCTACCAGAACTCTGTATATGATAGGCTTTATATTTTAAATTGCTCTAAGGAGCTGCACTGCCAGCCTGAAGGCATGGGGTTCAAAACCACCATCTGTTCCACAAAAGAAAGATGGGCCATTTCCCATGTGATTTACTGACTGAAAACTTGCTGGAGGGTCCGCTATGTTTTGGTTCATATTGTGGAAAGTGAAGGTTAACATCATCTCACATTGAGCAGAAGTTGTCCCATAACCAGTCCACTAGATGTCACCAAAAGCTTAAAATTGTAGCTTGCGGTTATAGTACCTGCCACCTGGAACTTGAACTCCACAGTTTGTTCTAAAGAAGGTGAAGCCAGTCTCCTCCTTGGAAGCAAGGATTCAGAGGCTTTATCTGGCACACGTTGGACATGTTGCA